TTTATTTCGTTCTTTTTTAGATTCCATCGCGTTTGCCTCCGTTTGCAGCTCTCGATATTGTATTAAAGTCGTGTGCTCGCGCCGCACGTTGTGCATTGTGTGTAGCCTCCGGAGAGAGATTGAATATTTTTCATTTTTATCGCGTATTAAATTGACGTATCTCTCTCCTTTTCTCTCTACCCATGCCTATATATACATCGTGGATGCAATGGGAAACGATCCGATTATTTATTTTCTCTCTCTCTCTTGAACGCCAGAACGCCACCTTCTTTTATTATTATTAAACGATCTCGAGCCGCTCGGCAATATGTTTCGGCCGATTTTTTTCTTCTTCGTTCTTTTTTTTTTTTGTTGGAAACCTGTCTCTGGACTCTAAAATAAGCGATCACCTCATCGCGCGCACAATTTGTATACTTGACCCAATTCCTCGATGTATCCGACGAACGCGCGCTCTCCTCGCGCGGGTCTCTCCGCTCTTTTTTGCTGTTTTTCGTCGTTTTTTTGCCTTCTTTTCCAAAGGTAAAAGTCGTGTGCGCGCGAGAATATCGAAAAGTTAATCCACGTACAATGGATACACATGCTCTCGTGCGTGCCGCGAAAAAAAGCGCCCGAAAAATGAAGAAAAATCACACTCGCGACACGCGGCGGTATAATATTAAATGTGTATGAAAAATATATCACACGCTCGCGCAGGATAATATACAGGTCGCGCGGCGTGTGTCGTCTCATCCATCCGGTTTGGGTATATATAATGTTTGTTGCACTCACCCAAACACACACACACACACACAAACACATGAGCACTTGTCAGAAACGAAAGGGGGAGAGAGAGACCGAGAGAACGTATATATTCCTGAGGATTTTGCAGTGCTGCTGCTGCTGTAGCTGCGGTGCCTCGCATTATCATCATCATTATTATACCGCGTAGTATACATACGACGCGAAGAGGGTCCCGAAAAAGGAGGAAGAAAAGGAGAAGAAAAAAAAACAGGTGCACACAGGTATAGAGAGGTATAGAGAGAGAGAGAGAGCCGAGAGACACAGAAACGCGACGCGCAGTCGGTGAACTCGCCTCGGCGCGTTATTTCGAGCTATATCGTGTATATATATAATAACAACGCATACATATATAATAATGCTGCCGCGAGTGCAAAGCACATAGCAGCTATGAAGCTAGCTCGCTCTTTCTAGACAATCGCTTATTTTAGCCCGAGCTCGCAAAGTCTAATTCCTTTGGCTCGGAGCAGCAGCAGGAGGAGGAGGAGGACTGAGGAGAGGAGAGGACTCGCGATGATGATGGGTCTGCTGCTCTTTTGTTGTCTGAGCACGTTTTCTTCTCTCTCTCTCTCTGCTCTGTGTCTTTTGTGGTTTAACTGCTGTGCAACTACTATACTATAGAACTGAGTAGTAGAAACACTGGGAGATTTTTAGCCGATTTTTTTAAAAAGGTGCGAGAGATTCTTTGTCAGCCTCGAGTAAATAGCCTCGCTTGTGTTATAGCACAAGCTCTTGCGTTTAATAATAATAAACACACTTAGCCAGACACGCCGAAAGAGCGTCGAATTATATTCCCTTTCATATGTACATTATGTATACATTATTTTTCACCTGCGAATTTTAAGCATTTCCTCCTTCTTCGCACAATACATAGACGCATTAGTGCTCGGTTAAAAAAAAGGCATATTCTCATCCACTTGACTTTGCGCTCGAGCATACCTTCAAAATCGCTTCTGAAAGACTATAAAGGATGAATTATATTTAATATATCGCGCGCGAGCTTTTATATAAACATCGTCTTCTTTTCTTCAAACTCAAACTATATCTCGCTCGGCGCTCCACCGCGCGAGTACAGAAGAATTTCGTCGTTCCGTACCGGGGGGCACTGCCGGCCACTGGCTACATACCTGTTGCCGCTGCTGCTGCTGCTTTGCGCGATTCTTTGATATATACCTGCTAAACAGGTAGTACTTAGTTAGCTGGCGTATGCTATATACGTACACACATACGCACATACATGTGTGTATGTGTGTGTGAGTGGCATGAATGCGTATATATACATTAACGCTGCTGCGCGTACGTGTATGTGTGTGTACATGTATGAAGTTTAGAACGGGAACTTGCAGCTCTCGAGCGAGAGAGGCACGAGCGTGTATAGTGGCTGTTGCGCGCGCGCGCGCGGAGTAACAGAAAGAGGACGAAAAGGGAAAAGAAACTCGGCGAGGAGAGAGAGAGAGAGAGAGAGAGAGAGACAGCTATGCGACTGCTGCGTTCCTTCCACCTCTCTCGCTTTCTAAGCTCGCTTGCATATATATATATATATATAGCTACCTCGCTGCGCGACTTAGAGCTCGGATACCGTGTACGAAAGATACCAACACGACGACGACGTCGGAAAAGACGTCAATGCCACTACGTGTCTTTCGCTCTCTCTATCTCTTTTTTATTTATTTATTTTTTTAAATACACGAGAAACGAGTGGCTCCATAAATCCGCACTTGTGCATGTGCAACATGCAACGTAAGTTTGGAGCTCTCGACGCGCAGGCGCTGCACACACGAACGTATATTGTATTATAATATACTCGTGTTGTGTTTGCTATACCGTGTCAACCTGTTGCGATGAGACGTCTCGTGTGTACACGAAACTTCGGAGTCATATGCACTCGCACGCGCATACACGAAGTTTAATTTTTTCCCTCTTACCTTCTCTCTCTCGCGCTCAATTCATTCTTCAAGACCTTATCAGCTGTATTTATAGTGTATACGAATTCTTACGCGCCCCGTTTAAATATCGATAATGAATGCGTATAAGTATACACAGGAGCAGAGTCGCGGGGGCTCAGAATTTCTTCAAAGATAATAGAGGGAACTTCTGTGTGCTGCTGCTGCGTGTGGTGTGCGTGAGCTTGCAGTCACTCCGCGGCACACACACACTGCATATTATTATTATATTATACAGCAGGCCTATATACAGCCGCACCTGAATTCCAAAGCGGCTCCATCATAGAGTGAGAGAGAGAGAGAGCCCACTAGCGACAAACACACACACACACTCTTACGTACGTGTATGTATATGGAGATACCTTTATAGACGTGCATAAGCGCATGCACAAGAAGCATAGAATTTTCCCCCGCATCGGGCAAATTCCGCGAGCGGCTGTTCGTTCGTTCCTTCGCTCGAGAGCTGCTGCTGCTGCGGTTCTCCATGCCGCGTGTTATATTATAAAGGCACATATATAGATAGAGCCGCCGAGCGAGCGGTATTATGCCGACGAAGGAACGAAAGGTGAGGGAATAAAACCGGCCGAGGCCATCTCGTGGAGTTGCTGTTGCTGCTGCAGCCAAGGAGTTTATACACATACACACACACGGGTATAATATGCGAAGGTGAGGAGGAGGAGGAGGAGGAAGCCCTTACATAGGAACGAGAGGAGAGCGAGAAAGAGACGGCGATCGGCGCTGCAAAAAAGGAGCAGGAGAGAGAACCTCTCTCGAGTTCTTGTGTGCATGTATAGTATATAGTAGTTTGCGAGGAAAAGGAGGAGGAGGTGGGGTAGCCGCCGCCGCCGTCGTAGCCGCCGTCTTTCGCGAACGGCGGCGGCAGCGGCAGCAGCAGCGGACCTGCTTGGCCTCCTCCTGCCTGCTCACCAGTCGTCGTCCCGCTAGAAGCGCGGCCATGATAATGCACTCCGTCCGTCCGTCCGACTGACGCTCGTGCTGACTACTACTACTACTACCGATCATATAGCATTAAAGAGTCGTGCGCGCGAATCGACTTTATATTTTATAACTTACTTACTTTATACTGTGTGTACTGCGTGGGTGTGCGACGAGATAGTGTGTATTATTTTCTGTGTACCTGTGTGTATAACCGTGTGTATACGGTGAGTGTTTCGGTGATCGTTACTATTTTCCAAAAACGAGCAACGACTACGCGCCCAGTGTGAGAAAAATAAACGGGAGAGAAAAGAAAGCCAAGTGCTATACTGTGTGTGTACTATCGGTGTGTATTACGTGTGACCTCGAGAGAGAGAGAGAGACTCGCACGCCACGCCGATTCTCTCTCCGCCGCTGCTCTCTACAGCTTTCTGCGCGAGCCACACGCGCAAAGCCAAGAGAGGCGAAGTGAAAAAGAAGAAAAGAAGAGAAAAGAAATTAAGAAAATATATACACACACACTATGCGGCGCAACAACATATGCCGCGGCGTAATACAGCTACGACCAGTGTTGTCGGCAGCAGCAGCCGTAGCGCCGCCGAGAGCCGAATAAAATCCCGCGGAATCCACCGGAGTTGTCGTCAGTGGCCGTGACCGGCTAAAAAACTATAAGGACTGGTGTGCGCGAGAGAGGGCCCCCTTCGAAAAAGAGTCACCACCGTCGTGTCTGTGTCTGGTGTTATACTTGTTGTTTCTGTTCTCTCTCTCTGTTTGTTTGTGTTGCATTATACGTGTGTGCAGTGTTGCATACCCACAGTGTTAATATATATATGTGTACGCGAGAGAGCGCATCATCGCAGCAGCAGCAGCGTTCGGCACAGATCATCAGGTGAAAGGAGAGAGAGAGAAGAGAGGATCGCTCGCAGTATCCCAGCGGATCGCGAGTGAAAAACGGCGCAGAAAGAGAAAGACGGAGCAGCAGCAGCGTATGCTCCTCTCTCTCTCTTTCGACGTTCGCGAGTATCTCTCTCTTTCGCGGCCTGTTCTTCGCCGCTGAGAGCCGCCGCCGCCGCTGCAGCGAGCGTAAAGCAGAAAGAGAAAGACAGATAGAGAGAGAGAGAAAGAGGCCCGTCGTCTAGCGCCAGTAAGCCAGTGTGAACGACCTAGCTTGCTCTCTCTAGCGAGGCCAAGCCTTTTGCCTCCTTCTGCTCCTTCTGCCGCGCGACTGTGACTGTGTCTGTGTCGCGTATTTATATAAATTATTAAAATACCCGCCTGTGTGTGAGTGGTGCGTGCAGTGCACAATTTTGTTTGATTCGCGTGTACAGTGCTTTACCTTCCACCATGCGCGGTGACGACGAGGCCTCGACGCCCTACTGTCGCTGCCGCGTCCTCTATCTCGGCTCGGCGGTGCCCCACGCCAGCAAGGAGGGCCTCCTCGGCGTCCAGGAGCCGCTGCGCGAGCTCTACCCGGAGCAGGGCGCTTCGGGCGCACGCGGCATCGACTCCTGGCTCTCGGTCTGGTCCAACGGCCTCCTCCTCGAGAACGTCGACGAGAATCGCAAGAAGGTCACGCGATTCTTCCCCATAGAGTCGCTGCACTATTGCGCGGCGGTGAGGCACGTGCGCACCGCCGGGAGCGCCGGCCAGGACGGCAGCGGCAGTAATGGTCAGCTCGCGACGCGCTTTCTGCCCCTCGACTCGCCGTTCACGCGCTCGCCCTCGGCCAATCATCCGCCCCTGTTCGCGGCGGTGCTGAGGCGCACCTCGGGCATCAAGGTGCTGGAGTGCCACGCCTTCATATGCAAGCGCGACATGGCGGCCAACGCCCTGGTCAGGTGCTGCTTTCACGCGCACGCCGATAGTAGATTCGCCAAGGGTCTGGAGCCGGGTGGCAACGGCAGCTCGTCGCCGATCATGAATGGAAACGGCACGAGCAACGGTACCAACGGGGGCACGTCGACGCCGACCAACGGTCATCTGAATCACAGCCACTCGAGCTCGGGCTCGCTCTACAATACTCTAAGAGAGTCGACCCTGAATCTGAGCGCCGAGACCAACGGATCGCCCAGCAGCACCAAGTTGGGCGAGGCCAGCAACGACGAGGACGAGGCTAGCCTGTACAACGGCAATGGCCACACGGCCGACGAGAATCACAAGGTCTGGGCCAGAGGTGGCGGACGAGACGAGCTCGACGCTCTGTACCAGGAGCACGGCACTCTGCGCAGCCAGAGACGACCGCGTCAGCTGATCGCTCCGCCGCCACCACCGCCACCGCCACCGGCACCCAGCCAGCCGCTCATCAACGACGAGTCCAACACGTCCTCGGCGGCGCGCAAAAAAGCCGCCAAGAAGTTGAAGAAAATGAAGAAGGATCGAGCTGCCTCGCTCATGCAGGAGGAGATGATGCAGCAACAACAGCAGCCGATCTACGGCATGAACGGTCACAACGGGCCGATCTACGCCAACGGCCATCATCCACCACCGCCGCATCATTTGCATCATCATCATCATCATCACACGCTGGGCCATCCCATGCCGAGGGGTGGTGGACCACCGCCACCACCTGGGGCAATGGGTGTCCACTATCCCGCCGGTCTGCCGCCGAGCAATCGGTCGATCGCCGGCACGCTGGCCCGACCGGCGCCCACCCCGCTGCTACTGGTGCCGGCCTCGACGCTGCCGCGCAAGGGCATGCATCCGCGGGCCATCAGGCCGATACCCGCGGCGGCGCCCATAGTGCCGATCTACGCGCCCCTGCCGCCCATGGGACCGCCGGGCGCCCCGCTGCCGGCTGGATTGTATCCGGGCGCCGGTTACGGCACCACGGGCAATCGCGGCAATCATCGCAGGTCGCACGCTCCACCGCCCGGATGGGCAGTGATGGGCAGCGACGGATTACCCGTGGACGGCTCTCAACTGGGTGGCCTGGTGCACTCGAGACGCATAGCGAGCTCGCACGCCGATCTGAGCGCGCCGTCGCCGATACCACCGCCGTCGCAGATCGACGGACAGCAGCAGCAGAATGGGCGATCGAGCGACAGTCCGGACAACGAGTCGCGCTTCGGCACGGGCATCTATCGGCGCAAGGGCCACCTGAACGAGCGCGCCTTCTCCTACAGCATCAGGGCGGAGCATCGTAGTCGCAGCCACGGCAGTCTGGCCTCGCTGGGCTTCGCCGGACAGCAGCAGCCCAATGGACAGCCCAACGGACACGCGAACGGATATCATCATCACTCGAACGGAGATAACAGTCCACCGGCACCGGGTAGACACATGGACAAGAAGGAGCGCGAGATGCAGCACCTGCTCGCCGGCCTGACCCTCGAGGACGGCGTGGTGCTCGACTCGCGCGGCAACGTCGTCCAGCACGTCGTGAAGAACGGCAACGGTGCCATTTACATGCCCCAGCCGATGCCGAGGCCGAGACGTTGAACGCACAGATAGAGAAAGAGCGAGAGTAAAAAAGTAAAAAAGTTCGCGGTATAATATATTTTATTTGTGTGCGTGAGTGCGAGTGCGAGTGCGAGTGAGCGTGAAATTTTCAAGGATACTTTGTACTTACACCCCCGATGCGTCGAAACAAAAAAACGAGTTTATACCGATACGAAAATAGCCCGATATACGTACGTACCTAAATACGTATTACGCCATCGTAACGAAGGTGTATGTGTGCGGAGAAGGGCAATCGCCGATTTATATATTATTGTGGCATTGAAAATCGAATGCGTACGTGAAGAGAGAGCGCGTAATACTCGCTTGGAAGAAAATAACAACAACAACGACAACAACAACGAGTCGATCGAAATATTTTTACGCGTGCGCGTAGGTATACACACTATCGGTAACGATGACCGGTTTCGTCGCCGCCAAGCTAAACGTATTATAAAAAATCGAGCCTCGGAAAGTCTCTCGCGAATATCAAATGGAAAAACGAAATTTCTCTGCGTGATATTATAATACACACGTGTCGATCTGCGTGCGTACATTAATACATTTACACGTGTGTGTGTGTGCGCACATACGTCGTCGAGCTATATTTACACACCAACACGAGCTGCTGCATAATATACGTATACGCTATATGGAGTATATTTTTCTTTTTTTTTTGCGAAACGTTAGTCTAACGGTATTTTTTCTTCTTTTTTTTTCTCTCTCTCTCTCTCTTTTACAACCACGAGTCACGACTACTCGGTATATAAGAGACAGTATGCGGAGCTCGCGCGCGGGGCTTTTCTCTTTTTCCGACCCCCTTTTACGACATATCGTGACAACAACGAACAGCAACGCAGCAACAGCAGCAAAGCCGAGCGAGCGAGCGGGCAGAAAACTGCTGCAGCCAAATATGTATACGTAGCTACGTATACGAGCGGGGGCGACGAAAAAATAATCGCCGGAATGTGTGTATGCGTTATAAGCCCACGCGTGTTGTTGTTGGCCTATTGTAGTAGTTGTAGTATTATACGTATTATATATTATCGCTCTCAGCGCGCCGAGAGCGTAGTGCAAGTATTTATAGATACGTATTATACATACCTACGTATACCGCCACTATAATGTGTGTATGCGCTCGAGTATTTCTATCAATGTGCCGCGTTTCAGGTGAAAACAGTACATTTCGAATGTGCCTTTACATACGTACATATACACACGTGTTTGTAATCTATACGAAATGCGCAAAACTGAAAGAGAGAGAGAGAGACTCGTTAGTGTCGCTCGATGATAATATTTTCTATTTATGCACATAGAAAACTATTGTCCCGCGCGTGTAATGCTCGAACAGCTCGCTCGACGTTTTCTTTTCTTTTGCTTTTTTTCCTTGTTTTTCAATGATTACGTGCCGCCCCGTGCGCAAGTGAGAAAAGTCAACGTTTTTATACACATATACAACACGCTCGAAGCTCGTGTACATATTGTTACATTAATTTATTCACTCGAGGCAAGAAATTCCTCGAACGCCTTTGCACCTATATTCGTGTTTGCGTGTGTGAAACGTGTATGTGTACGAACACGCCGTGTGACGCGAATCGTGTCCTTTTATCTGAAACCATTCGAATTGTCTTCATATTTTCACGAAACGATATCGCGAGAGATGGAAAAAAAATAATAAAAATAAACAAAAAAGATACACGTATCGGGCGTGTAGAAAAGAATTTGCTCTCTCTCTCTCTCTCTCGCGTCGAGCTCTCCCGTAGTATAGAAGCGAGGCATAATTTCGATTAGCCATCGAATGAACAGTTACATAGAGGAGCGAAAAAGAGCGAGAGAGAGAGGCAATCATAATCAAGATGCATGTGTGTGTGTATATGCATTTGCATAACGGTATTTATTATATGCCACGTATGCGCGCGCGTATAGGTGCATTCGCGAGGTGCGCGCTTCAACCGTCACTTCATTGCACTGCTGGTTATAGTATGTGCAACAACATCATCGTATAGAGGCGCGCGCAAATATGTTACCAAGATTAATTTTTTTGTGTTTATCGAGCTCTTCTTTCAAAATCGTTACGCAAACGTCAAAAAAAAGTCCGTGAAATTTACCCGCGCGATCTCGAGTTCGAACTTTTTGAATGACGCACGTGCGTGTAATCTACTGCTCGTATGCATGCTCGCGCGATAAAGAGAGTAAAAAGTCGAGAAATCGCGGTGGCGGCTGTATTAAAAGATGCACACACACAAAAAAAACGAGTCAGAGGCGAGAGAAACAGGGACGATATAGAAAGTTCGCGTCAAAATATCGTGTATACACTCGCGCACAAATCATAGCTGGTGCTGCTGCCGCATGCGATATTATTGTACACACACACAACATACATACATAAGCTCTAGGCAGCGTGTAAAATCTTTCAAAGTCATCTCGACGAAAATCTCTACATAATAACACACACACACATACACAGAGCTTCGCAGAGTCATTATAATCGAGTGTATAAATACGTAAGCCGAAACCACAAACGGCAGATTGACATTTTCAATTTGAGTGAAAATCTCTCGCGCTTGTCTCTCGCTCGCTCGCTCGCTCGCTGCAGTTCTCTGTGTAAACCCACACGAAAGTTGACTCTATATTCGCATTTATGTCGTCGTAAAAGAAAAAAAAGTCGCTCTCGATCGCACTCGCGGCTCGATTTATTCTCTCTCTGCAGCTCTCGAATCGCTTCAAAAGGATATTGTCGCGCGGAGAGAAGAAAATATCGCCGACTAAACGTTTTTCTAATTAACGGAAAAAAGAAGTATATATAACGTGTACAGCGTATACTCGCCATCGATCAGCTGTTTGAACGAGATCAACGACCTATCGTGGTATTTTGTGAATCACAAATTTATAATTAATCTTGCGTGCGCGTATATCGATGACGTCGAGTCAAGATCGAAAACGTAATGCATTATTATTATATCGTAATAAATTCTTCATTGTTGATGCTCTACGATGCGCACATCATCGTGCGCGCATATAATGCAACGATTCACTATCGTGTTATAATGCCGGGCGATTTTCTCGCGTAATATCTATAAGCGTGAGAGCATAATATTGTATGGCGTAGGAGTTGTTGTGGTTGTTGTTGTTGTTGTTGTTTTTTTCATGAGATCGAGGCGCGATTTTATTGTAACTCGACGACTTATCGTGTAGTATGCTTGATTTTTTCATGCGTAATTAGTATGATGTACAGAGAATGAAAAAATGTAAATAAATATTATAAATATATGATTGTTTTTTTTTTTTAAATAAAAGCTACATTTGTTCAATCGTACCGATGAGCGTTTCGTATAAATGCCAAAACTCATGTATCTATAAATATAGCTAATATTCGAGTATCTGAGTATAAATGTGTATAAATTTTTCAGAGCAATTTTTAATTCACACGTACTTATATTTGTAGGAGGTATAATGAAGATTCGATGGCAAAAAAGTAATTGATAAATAAAACTAACAGAACTGTGTAACCGTCCAACGAAAAAAATTTAAATATATATAAGAGTATATTTTATACGATTAAGTCAAATAGCAATATTTATTTATTATATACTGATTAAAAAAGAAGAATTATATAAAATGTATATCTACGTGTCCATGATTAAATCCTGTTCAAGGCCATAAACCCATACACATTATTCATGTGTGTGCACGAAAGAAATATCGACAGATCCATGTTTCTATTTCGTCGTTCGATATTTTTGTACAATATATTATTTTACGAAACAAGACGAAGAGGTTTTTGTTGCAAAAACATTTACTTTTACGTATGCGAGTGGTGTGTACGTATGTTTGTGTATGTGTGTATGTGTGCATGTAGTGATATGAAGCCCATTAGAAAGGAGTCGCGCTGCCACACGTTTGTAACTTACATGTATTAAAGTGCCTCACGACACTCGTATATAAGCCGCACGGAAAATTGGCTTTCGAACGAGCCGAACGTGCAAGTGTTCGTTTTACGGTATTAGAGTGACAGAAAAAAGAGAGAGAAGGGGATGGATGAAATTGTTAAATGAAACTCAGGAATGTGCCATTAGGAGATAAAACTTGGTGTGTTTTTGCGAGGCGGGTATTCTCTCGATTCGTACAAAAATGTCGAGGAATACCTCGTTGAGTAAGAGGAATTTACGAAATACTCAATAGCGTTGTTTTTTTTTTCATTGAAATATTTTTAATTCTTTTTTTTTTTAACCTACGAGTACAGTAGGAAATTTTATTCAATATTTTATTCTTATAAAAGAGATGTAACCGAAATCGAACAATTTAAGGTTGTACACTACACGAATCGAAATTAATAAATTTTTTCTTCACGATTCTTATTGCGAAAAAATTTCAATGACTTTTCATAAATTGTGTTTCGGTTACATCTTAGAGATTACTCTTTCGTTGTTATATTGAGATTAACAAAAAATAAATAAAGTTTACTGTAATTAAAAAAAAAGCAGACAAAAAAAATCGTTACTAATCAATCCCCCCATGAAAACGACAAAACATAAATATATTATATACGAAAAAAAAAATTGTTTCTCTGTAAACGCTCTCGCGCGCGGTGGAAACGGCACGAACGATTTTGACTTTTGATACATTTATTTTTCCTCCACATATACATACATACACGCCGGTACGGAGGAAGTAATCGTTCGAACGTGCAAAAGTTTCTTTGTACAATATTGTTTTCGAGTCTCGTTTTCTTGCATAATGTATTATACGTGAGAAAAAAAGTCCCATTTGTTTCGAGCGTGCACGATTTTTTTCTCTTTCTTTCTTTCTTCGCGCGCGCACGCGTGTACAGAGAAAAATGTTTACATTGTGTTTGATAACGAAGAAATAATGCGATGAATAACACAAGTACATACATAATAATTATGACGTTATATGTTAATGAAAAATCTAGTAATTCTGTCGTATGAACAAAGGGCGATTTTATAAATATATTGTAAAAGTCTTTTTAAATTTTAATAAAT